AAATAGTCTTGACTTTGTTTCTTCAAATATGAATTTTATGTTTGAATGGCTACATGAAATTCCTAATCAAATTTTTTTAATGCTTAGCTGTTAAAATCTTTTGTCACCATCAATGAGAGATGTGTTCACACAATGTAAAATTTTTAAAACCATTTTTGTAGTCACAAATTTACAATGGATGAACTTAAAGAAGGTTAACATCATCCAGTCAATAGACAGCATTTGTATATACTCATAAGTCTCTAACAATATTTTCCTTTTGCTTTAGTTAGTATAAAGAAAATACATTGTATAAGCTAGCAATGTACGTAGGCATTACTAACCTGGATTCAGGATTCTATAGAATTCAAGGGCTTTGTGTCTGGAGAAAATCAAACTTGTTTTTGTTGTAAAGGTCACAGTGGTTATGGAGCTCCTCAGATTTAAAGGTACAGTTTTCTTTTTTCCCTTTCCTGATGGTCTCCTTTGTACCTAGCCTTTCCTCTGTTCTACCTCACTAGGATCACATCTGGCACACAGTAGGAACTAAAAGGCATTTGTTTCTTGAATGAACATGTCTTTTGGAAGGCACCAGCCAAAGCTAAAAACGGTGAAAAGGTCACCCAGGAAGAGGGGGAGGAGTAAAAAGAAGAGCTAAGGACAGACCCTCAATTCAATGTACATGTGCATTTAATGGAGCAGCAGAAGTAGGAAACAGGATAGAAAGCTGGGAGCAAAGTCCATATGGCATCATCATAGAAACCACCAGAGGAGAGATGTTCGCAAGAGTGAACAGCAGAAATCAAAGATTGAAAAGTCCATGTGATTGGCCAGTGAGAAGATTTGTCGTTGATTTTGGTAAAACTTCAGAAAGATGCCCTAAGTAGCAGATTCATTGCTTTGTATTAAGTGGTAATGGAGGGAAAAGTGGAAAAAACTGAGTTTGGACTGCTTTTCAAGGATTTGGCCAGGGAGAAGAGAAAGAGGGGATATAGGTCAAGGAAGTGTTTCTCTCTCTCTCTCTCTCTCTCTCTCTCTCTCTCTCTCTCCCTCTCCCTCTCCCCCTCTCTCCCTCTCTCCCTCTCTCCCTCTCCCTCCCTCCCTCTCCTCCTTCCCTCTCCCTCTCTGCATGTCTGTGTATAAGATAAAAAGGATCAGAGCATAATTTTATGTTGCAGGACTGTAAAGGGATGTTGAACATCCACGATTGTGTAATAATGACCAAAGGACAAGGTTTGTGGTCTAGAGGTGTTGGGGGATGGGATCAAAAATAGGATGGATGACTCCCTCACCTACTGAGACCAAAAGGAAGGATGGGAAGGGACTAATTTATAGGCCTGGACTGGAGTTGGGGGGGAGTCATTATGAGAGCCTCTGTGGGAGCACAGCCATTTTCTAGTGGTGGGACAGCAGTGGGACAAGAGTGGTGGCAAAGGCATGGAGTAACTGCTGTGAAAAGGGACTTGAATAAGGACATCAAATGGCCCCATATTGGACACAATGTTGAAAAACTTGGGAGGCAGGAATGCTGGACTGACTTGTCATGTGCGTCTCTGACCACTCCTTCACCATGTTCTTCAAAAGATCCTCTCATCCTTGTCATAAAGGAGCTTATCAAAACTCCAGAAGCCTTAATGGACACAGAAACACAAAAAGGTCCTGACTTTTCTTAGGCAAGAATGCTGGTGGGAGCAGCTGCAAGTGAAATATACTCCTAGTTGCAAGCAGGGCTGGGAGGAGACCAGGTGCAGGCAGCTAATTACTGGAGGAAAAGTGGCCTCTGGTTGTTGTAATAGACGGAAGGCAGGGGGACACATTGGTCTGATCCACAGAGCCCTCTGGTTGTTTGTAGTTAGTTAATTGTAAACACCCAAGGAATAAACAACCCAAGAAGTCATTTTGATTTGTATGACAGAAAAAACAAAAAAGCCAACAAAACAATTCTAGATCTAGGGAACAGAGGCCTCCCATAAGCTGGAGAGAGCGCCTTTCACTTCATTACTGGTACTAAATCAGACACCAAACCCATAGCTTTTTTGGACACAGCCCAGATAGTCTTGAAAAAGGGTGTGGGCAAAATGCTGTACCTAAGACAGCAAACTTTCCTCAAAGGCCTTGCAGTCCCTTATGGATAGCTATTCAAGAGAAAAGAAAATACCCAAACTTTTTAGTGACCACCACTTGCTAATTCTAAGGAATGCTAATTTATGGGACCTAAAATGTCACATTTTGCCATCAAGATTTTGAGCTTGTAGGGGCTAGTTTATAGGGATTGGGTAGTGAGGGTATAAATTCATCCTGTGGTACTGGACCCTGGCTGCCAAGCCAATAGCTGGAATAAATAAATGTAGCAACTGGCTGAATTCCTACATTGGCACACTTGCAGAGTAAGGGCTGTTCTGAAAGGAAGTATCAACTGGGGTGCCAGAACCATACATCAAAAGCAATGCCACATCCCTAGAGAACTGTATAAGCAAGTGCCACCACCAGAGGAAAGATGTTACTATGATGGTTCCTACCTCATTGCCACCCACTTACTTCACTGTAAACTCAGTCAAGCTGTGGTTCCAATTCTAGCCACTTTTCAAATGGGGCATGCTTCTTCTTAATGAAGCAACTTCAAACAGCTCCTGGTACTTAGTTTGCAATTGTTGATCTGGGATTTAGTTCCATCATATCTTTTTAAAAATCTCTTTTAAAAATATTATGACCTGTGAACTAAAGTTCTCCAAAGAAGCCACATCTCTATATTCAAGAGACTGCAGACTGTTCAGTGTTGGTTAAAGTATGTAATTATAGGGCTGGGGATGTGGCTCAAGCAGTAGCACGCTTGCCTGGCATGCGTGCGGCCCAGGTTCGATCCTCAGCACCACACACAAACAAAGATGTGTCCGCCGAAAACTAAAAAATATTAAAAAAAATTCTCTCACTCTCTCTTTAAAAAATAAAATATGTAATTATAGAAAGATGGATCAAGAGCTGTCCTTATGTTGGGCTATCTTTAGTTTCTTTTAATTTCTAGGTAAAATGCTTGGAGTATAAGTATATTAAGTTTGGTGGAGTTCAAGCCTCCACTGATCCTAAAGCTAAGAATGTGATACATCTGAATTCTGTAAAAGATTTGCTAGCCTTGTTAAACATCTGAATCCTATAGGTTTCCCTACCTCTTTAAAGTTGATGACCCCAACTACTTTCTCTTGTGAGTACAAAAGCTCATTTAACTTATTCTACAGAGAAAACATGTTGTTCTGGTAACTTGAATTTGTGTTCCCTTGTGATGATCTCTCATATTTGGCTTAGAATAAGCCATTTTTAAAAATTTCCTTAAGGCAGTTATTTTTTGTCAACATAATAATAACTTTTTGATTCAAAATTTTTGTTTCTATTGTCTGATGTTTTTATTGTCTAATGTTTTTATTGTCTCTTGTCTGTTCTTATATCCCTGTTCATGTATGTATATTTAACATGGGGATCACAATTACACTTTCTCAATTATTGGGAAGAAACTTATATAATACATAAAAAATATATCTATATCTCTTACCTTTTATCTCAGGTAATTGGGGATAAAAATCTGGGATATCTTTTTTTTCAATTCATTGTTCATTTATCAATAGTCATTCTCAAGTCATTCAGTGAGATAAATTTTCTGAAACTTGGATGACTGAAAATGGTTCTACTTTTCCCCCCACTTTAATGCTGATTTGACTGGGTTAAGGGTTCCAGGTTTAGCTTTGAAGGTACTGCTCCCTTGAGAAATCCAATGGCAATTTATTTTCCATTGCTTTCTAGGTAACCTATTTCTATGTTAAAAAAAAAAATCTGTTGATTGTCTTTCTCCTAGGCTTAGTCTAAAATGGGATCTTTGAAAAGTAGGTATTGTAAGGACTGAGTTGGCCCTTAAAATCTGAAGATGTGTTTCTGTTCAAACCTGGGACATCTCCTTTTTAACTCCACAATGCTCACTACCATTCTTTCCCCCACATTTTTAAATTGGTGCATTGTAATTATACATAATTGCATCCCCATTCTGTTCTTGTTTGTGTAACTTAGGTCATTCAAATGTTGCAAAGTCTGGGCCCATCTTCAAAATCTTATAATTTTTCCCTTTTTCTTAATTTGCTAATTATCCTGTAATTCTGCTATAAACCAGTTATAAATCTTGTTTATTTCCTGTCTTTCAGGGATCCTCAATATTCCTGGTTCGTTGACTGAATATTTAGGCATCGTGGGCTTTAAAAACTGTGTATGTCTTGGGGTTAGGCAGAACGTGTGTGTTCAGGTCTCATGGGTTTAACTTGTTTCTTTGTACATTTTAAGGAAAAGTCTTGATGCCTCTCTATAAACTGTGTTCTAGTCTTCATGGATCTTATAACTCTTGGCTTATTTTGCAGATACAACAAACCGTCCAAATATATTCTTTTCTTCAGTCTCTCCATTCTAATCTCCAGTGGCACCTGGAGTGTTCACTCATTCCTCTCTCCAAGGATCTAAAGTCGCTTCTTCGAGCTCCGCAGAAATTCTTAGCCAAGAACAAGAACTGTCTGTGACACCCCCACCCCCACCCCAATTAAACCTGGGCCTACTGCAGAGGAATCTCTGCAGCTCAGCCCTGGGCATCCCTCTTTCCACTAATAACTCTACAGGTGCGCCTGAGGCGGACCCCCGGGTTAAGAACCACGCGGCCTCTCCCCGCCTGGCCTCGGGGCTGCTCCGCCCCGCACGGGACGTGCTTAGGGAGGCCCACGCGCCGCAGCCCCGCTTCGTGTCTTCGAACCGCGGCGGAGGAGGTAGGCGCGGGCGATCCCTCAAGGCCACCCAGGCTGCCTCGGAGTCGGGCTCAGCAGCCCCGCACCCGGGATGGGCCCCAGGCCCGGCCCCGAGTGGCCGTCCCGCCCAACCGTCCCACTCGCCGCGCGCCCTCGGGCTGGAACGGGGCGCGCCCGGCCGCCCCCTCCGCGTCGCGCAGGCGCGGTTCCCCCGCGGCCCGCCGGCGAGCGCCTTCGACTCCCGCAGCCGCAACGGCAGCGCCGGCCACAGTGGGGCACCATCTGCCGCTCCGCGTCGCGGAAAGCCGTCGGGCAGGTGGAAAGTCGACTCCGTAGTCCCGCTAGCGGCAGTGAGGGACGTTGGGGCAGGGAAGGGACCCGCCGCCGCCGCCCGGGCGGAGAGGGAGGAGGCGGGCGGAGATAGGTCGCTGGCTTGAGGTAAGAGGAAGCGGGAGCTTTCCCGCAGTTGGCTCCGGAGGGACGGAGTGTGTCGTGCGCACGTCTCCAGGTGTGGTCTTTGGCGCGTCGAGGACCGAACTGCGCGTGCCCAGTCCCCGGCCCCGGTTCCAACAGTCCAGAGTCCGTCTGGTACGAGGTGTGCAGCGGAGGACGACACCCCCCGGAGCCCGAGTTAGCGCTTCGGCAAACCACGACGGAGCCGGGCTGCGACTTCTCGCACTGGCCCCTGGCGGTGGCGCCTTGATTCCCACGTAGGTTCTTCAACACAGCTTGAGTTTTCAGGGTTTGAATTGGGTGTAGAGAGTTTGCGATGCACGAGCCCAGAACACCCTCAACTCGCATCTCGGTAGTTTGTATCCCACTACTAGTCGATGATGATGATGATGATGATGATAAAATTTTCATGGGTTTGCCTGTTTTTCCTCATAAGCAGTTTTCTGTCTTAAATTCTGTAGGGTACAATGTCGGAACAAGAACGTATACAAGAATGTCTCAGGAAAGAAATAAGGTCACTTCTTATTTCCACCAAAGATGGTTTGACTCCACAGCAGTTGGAAAAAGAGTACCTTTTGATGGTTGGCAACCACTTACCGCTCCGAATCCTTGGGTATCGGTCCACTATGGAGCTAGTGCTGGACATGCCTGATGTGGTTAGTGTCTGTCCCTGCGGGGATGGTACAGTAATACTGAAAGGTAGGTTTAAGATTTTTGGAAATTTGTAAACTTTGTAATTAAAAATAACCACTTAGTATACAATTGCTCTACATCTGCAGTTATCCAGCGTCCCAGGCATTGAATCTGAATTTCGGGTGGAATAGCGGGGAGGAATCACAGGTGCCTTTGAGACAAAGTCAGAACTTGATCAGAATTAAGAAACTGTCCCTAGGAAAATGGTGCTTTCACAAAAACCACAGTTTTGCATGAGTTAAAGTTGTTGCACCTGAAGTTAGGAGAAACATAACATGGGAACTTCTAATTACAAAAACTTATTTTAACTTCCATGAGGTACACAAAGCATCATTATAAGGAACTTTGCTCTTCATTCCAAGATTTTCAAATCTTCCAGGGGTCAATCAGCAGTAATGATGATAGATTGGGTTTTCATTTCGTCCTCCAATAGAGGAACTAACAAGCTGTTCCCCAGAATGCAAGAAATGGAAGAACCACAGGCTTCTTTCCTGTTTATTGTGCTACCTGGATAAACAGCTGCTTGGAGCCCTCAGAGTTGTTTACATAAGCCAAAAAAAAGGATAAAGGGCATACTTTAGGTTTTTTTTTTTTTAATCTACACCATGATTTCTTTTTCCCACATTTCCCTAGCCATTCCAGATGAATCTACCAAAGGAATTGCAAGTTTAGTTGCAAAGCAGAGGAGCAGCCATAAGGTTCGAAGCTCCATGCCAAAGGGAAGGGCTACTGTTTGCTCTGGGACAAGCTCTGGTCGAGTGCCTTACCGAGGAAGGGTGACCCCTATTCTTCCAGCTGTTGTGAAGAGTGAGCTGAAAGACCTCTTGGCGTTGTCTCCTGTTCTCCTTTCTGATTTTGAAAAGGCATTTGCCAAGCGATTTGGACGATCGTTTCAGTATGTGCAATATGGATTCCTCTCGATGTTCGAAGTGCTGAATGCAGCTTCAGATGTCATTTCTGTAGAGCAGACTAGAGCGGGTTCTTTGTTGAAGCTAAAGAAAAGCATATCTGTGGAAAAGCAGAGAGGATGGCCGGCAGGTAAGCATGTTAGCATACATAATTGTATTGTGGATGAGCAAATGTTGGAGCAATCCTTCCATACACAGATGGGTAATTGCTAAGCTCCATGAGTGTATCAAAGTTGAAATCCCGCCCTGCCACTTGCAAACTGAGTGCCGGGCAAGTTACTTACTCTGTCTAAACTCTAGTTTCCTCATCCTTAAAATAGAAATAATAATACTTGCCACTTGGAGTTGTGCTGAAGACCTTACATGTCTGTAAAGAGCCTGGCATTTAGTAAGCTTGTAATAAGTTTTAGCTGAAGGCTCAAGACTAACATGATTATTCATATAATATCTCCCTAAACCTGGACAGTATGGAATGTATCCACTGAGTGGAGGGGCAACTTGTTTTGGAGAATTCTATGCCTGTCCCAGTGTCCCCCTCCTAAAGTTTGCATTTAAATTAGTGTGGGTGAAACTGAGAATGTCATGAGTTTATGAAGCAGCATTTAAATGGTGGTGGATAATATAGTTTGAATATATGAGGATGTGCTGTGGTCAGGGAAAGTTCTGAAGGCTACTGAGTGTTTCAGGTCTAGCCCTCAACCTTAGTGTTCTTGAGGCGTTCAGACTTAGGGAAATTAGATTGAGGTGTATAAACATAGGAGACGAGGTTACACTGGATAAAGCAGTTTACCAATTTACTGCATAGTGGGGATGGATAGCCTTTCCTGTGATTGGATTGTCACGTTCTCCATCTATGGTCCATTTTTCCTTTCAGGATATCTTGGAAGTAATTGGTTTATTTGAAGTTGATCTTGGGGTCAAGAAAGAGCTAGGCTATGGTGATTTCCAGTGATATATCTTTCATATTGTATAGCAGAATATACTTCCCTGGTGGTATTCCTCCTTCCCATAAATATTGAAGAAAAAGCTTATGCTCTAGAGTGCTATTCTTTCTTCTATGGCTTTTCCTCTCCTCTTCCCATACTATGGCTACCCAGTTTGAATCATAGTTCTAAGCACATTCCTTAATTGGAGATTTTTTTGGTCTAACAAGATACAGCTTTTTAGGTTTTTCTCTATCAAATCCTGCTTCTCTATTATATTCAGGTGATCTTAAGTGGTTTTTGTCCCAACCTTTTAGGTAATGTCTTTATGATTTCCGGGTTTTTTTTCCTATTACTAATTATGTACATTGTATGTAAGTTTTATTGGCTTACTATAAAAATGTAGGCTTTCCTTATTTTTGCTTTAAGCTGAGGGCAGTTAACTCACAGTAATTTTTAAATATATACACACCAGAAATTGCTAGTGACAATTTTTTTTCTTCTGTTATTCACAAAAGGAAAAATTTTTACCCAGCCATTTAGAATGAAACAACATGGGTCATATTCTACAGGCTGCATGGTGGCAAAGCCACGCTTTTCACAACACACTTCAAACATGGAACCACCAAAGCAAATACTGAACATGGACAAGACTTCCACGTTCAATGCAGTGGAGACTTCAAGGCTGAATCACACTGAAAAATTAAACCAGGTGAGATATCTGAGTTTGGAGACAGGAATACATGGAAAATGTGATGAAAAAGCTGACCTTTTAAATATTGAAGTCATTCACTTATTTTAATTTTCACTGTTTCCTATGGTTCTATTAATTTAGTAAGTGAGAGGTGGCAGTGAGAAAAGAGTAATAGTTTTACTAATTCTGGTTTCTACTGTTTTCTGCAGCTGACCATATATATATACACATATATATATATATGTATATATGTATGTGTTTTGGAACTTTGTTCTGGTCCACATAGCCACATATCTTTTTGCCAGTACTGTACTGTATCGATTACTGTAGGCTTATGATATCCTGAAAGAATATGTTTGAGTCCTACAACTTTATTCTTCTTCAGAATTGCTTTGACTACTCTGTATTTCCGTATACTTTTAATTTGATATAAATCGGCTTGTCATTTTTTACCAAAAATACTCCTGTTAGAATTACACTAGAGACAAATTTGGGGGAAAGTGACATCTTTACAACTGATTTAAAAGTATGGTGTATCCCATAATTTATTTAGGTCTTTAAATTCTCTCAGCAAATTTTATAGTATGCAGTGCACAAGGCTTGCATATATTTTATTAAACTTATCTTTAATATTTTTGGTGGGATTGAACTCAGGGACACTCGACCACTGAGCCACATCCCCCCAAGCTCTATTTTGTATTTTTATTTAGAGACAGGGTCTCATTGAATTGCTTAGTGCCTTGCTTTTGCTGAGGCTGGCTTTGAACTTGTGATCCTCCTGCCTCAGCCTCCCAAGATGCTGGGATTATAGGCATATACCACAGTGCCCAGCAATTTTTTGTATTTTTTATGCAAGCATGAGTGGTATTTTCAAATTAATCATTGCTAACATGTAGAAAATCAATTGTATCTTTTTAGTATATTGACCTTGTATTCTGTGATTTTTTTTTTTTAAATCAAGTTACTTGTTAAACTCATTTTGATTGTTCAAATCATTTTAGTAGATATTTTGAAGAGTGGGGATTTTCTTCACAGATTATCATGTCATCTGGGAGGAAGGATGGGTTTGTTTCTTCCTTTTTCTCCTTAAGCCAGCCTCTCTTATGCATATGAATAGAACTGATGATAGTGGAAATTCGTGCCTTGTTCCTACCTGAAGGGGAAAAGTATTTAGTCTTTCATCATTAACTATGATGTAAATTGTAAATTTATGATGTAAATTGTAGTTTAAAAAAAATAGATTCTCCATTGAGTTGAAGAAATTCTCTCCTATTGCTTGTTCCTGGTTTCTGAGAATTTTTTCATAACTGTATGTCAAATCTTTTCATGAGTTACTGAGGGAAGAGCATCAAGATATTTAAATACAATTGTGGATTTGTTTTACCTTTGAGTTTGGCCAGCTTTTGCATTGGGGATTGCAAGTCCCTCTTAGCTGCATGCACATTTAGGATTGCTATGTGTTCCTCATGAATTGCCCTATTTGTTACTGTGATTGACTTCTTCTCATTAACCTTGTATCCTACAACTGAGCTGTAATTGTTTATTAGACCCAGACAGGATTTTTATTCTTTTAGATTGTCTATGTAGGTGATCCTGTTGTTTGTGAACAAAGACTATTTTATTCCTTCCTGGTCTATATGCTTTCTATTTTCTTGTCTTGTTGGGACTTGTGACAGGATGTTGAAGCAGTGGTGACAGAGGGGATATCCTTGCCTTGTTCCTAATTATTTTTTATAGTTCCACTCTATCTTTGATATTTATTAGCTATACCTCTTCTATGTTTTTAGTGAATGGCTTAGGATTTTCAGCATACATTATTATTTTTTAAAGAGAGAGAGAGAGAGTTTTAAATTTTTTTTTAGTTTTCGGTGGACACAACATCTTTATTTTTATGTGGTGCTGAGGATCGAACCCAGCGCCCCGTGCATGCCAGGCGAGTGTGCTACCACTTGAGCCACATCCCCAGCCCCATTATTTTTAATTTATACATTTGACCCTAAATAATATACCAGTTCATATATAATGTTAAGTGCCTTAGAACAATAAATACACATTACTTCCATTCTTTGAGATATTGTTGTGGCATTTATATCTCATGATATAAACCTCTTAATTAATACGTTAGTTTTGGCTCAAAACATTTTTATTTTATTCTTGCAGTGCTGGGGATTGAACCCAGAGGTAATCTAACACCAAGATACATCCCCAGCCCTTTTAAAATTTGTTTTATTTTGAGGCAGGGTATTGTTGTCCTCAAACTTGCTTCAGTCTCCCATGTAGCTGGGACTACAGGCATGCACCACCATGCCTACCTAAAAATATTATACCTAAAAAATATTTACCCACATTTATTTTTGATGCTTTTCAGTCCTTTGTGTCCAGATTTGCCCCCAGTATAATTTTCTTTCTGCCTGGAAAATCAACATGTTCTGTAAGACAAATGTGGTGTTGGGAGTGGATATTCTTAGCTTTTGTTCATCTGAAGAAGCCTTTGTTGTTATTTTTTAAACATAATATTGCTGGATGTAAAACTTTAGGTTGATAGGAGCCTCCCCCACTTGCCCTTCAGTACTTTAGAGATGTTATTTTATTGTCTGCATAGTTTCTGACAATTATGTAGTCTTATTTATCTTCTGTGAATGTTATTTTCAAGATTTTTTCTTGTTTTCTACAATTTGATTTTGGTGTCCCTTGGTATTATTTTATTTGTTTTGTTTGGGATTCATTGAGCTGCATGTATCATTTAGCTTCTTGTATGTGCATTTATAATTTTCATTAAATCTGGAAAATTTTGTTCTTAACTATTTTTCTTTCCTTCCATCTTCTCAGGATTACTATTGTACCTATTTTAGAGTGCTTGTAATCTTCTTACAGGTCACTGGGTCTCTTTTCTTTATTTTTTTCCCTCTTTTTTGTCTCTCTTTCATTGTGTGCTTCATTTTGGATATTTTCTATTGTTGCCTTCAAATTAATTGATCTGAAGTTTTTTACTGGATGCCAGACATTGTGAAGTTGTAATTGTTTTACATAGAAGTTCCTTTGACTCAATTTGGTGATTTTTGAGTCTTTTAAACTTTTTGGGGGGGGTGAGGGATCCTTACTATGTTGGCCAAGCTAGTCTCCAACTCCTGGACTCAAGGGATCCTCCTGCCTCACCCTTCCAGCTTCTGAGACTACAGGTATGTGTCACCATGCCTGACCTACTTTTAACTTTGTTAGGGCCTCAGCTCTGTACCAAATCATGTTCCCCAAAATTCATATGTTGAATCCCTAACTTCCTAAATATGATGGTATTTGGAAAGGAGACCTTTGGCAGTAATTAGGGTTAAATAAGATCACAAAGGTGGCTTCCTCATGGGGGAATTAGTAACCTTTTAAGAAAGGAGAGCAAACTGGGTGCAGTGGTGCTTGCCTATGATCCCAGTGACTCAAGAGGCTGAGGCAGGAGGATTGCTTTACCAACTTGGCAAAGCCCTTAGCAACTTAGTGAGATCCTGTCTCTGGGGATGTGGTAAATTACTTAGGGTAAATTACTCTAGACTCAATCCCCAGTACCAAAAACAAATAAACAAACAAACAAAAAGCAACCCAGAGAGCTTTTGCTCACTCTTCATGTGGACACACAGTGAGAAGCTGGCCATCTGTGAGCCAGAGAACCTTACCAGGAATCGGATTGTGCCTTGATCATCGACTTCTAGCCTCCAGAACTGCGAGGGGGATGATTTTCTGTTAAAGCCACCCTGTCTATGGTAACTTTTTTTTTTTGGGGGGGGGGGGCGGCAGGATGGGACAGAGGGCAGCGTGAGCAGTGGGCCCAGAACAGCCTTCAGTCTAAGGGATAATTTGGTCCCACCACTGAGGCTTTTCTTTCTGAGCATTTGACCCTCTGTTGTCGGGTGGGAACAGTAACTGTTCCCAGCCCTATGTGAACTTAATGCTATTTGTTGTATTTCTTCAGCCTCAGAGAATGTTCCCCACTTGCACAGATCAATACTCATCAGAAACCTGGGGGGAATCTGTCTGCAGATTTTCAGAGCTATTCCTCTCTGTGCTAATCTTTACTACTGAGCAAAGTTTAGCATCCTTGTTGTCCCCACACTTCAATATCTCTCTTCAGTTCACCTGGACCCCCAGGCACTAGGTTTGATCCTCAGTACCACATAAGAGTAAATTAATAAAGGTATTATGTCCATCTACAACTAAAAAAAAATTTTAAAAAACAAGCAGCCTAAAAAATTACTCATAGTTGTACTACCAAATGTAATGTTTATTTCTTTGATAGTGATTTCCTCATTTTTAACATTTTTCTCTTGGCATTTCTTATGCCAGATAGGCCTAAGACCAACCTGTTTATCTGTATTTATACGTAAACTGACTAGACTATATCCTAGTCAAATCATGTCTTTATCTTTTGACATTCAGAATAGATAACCATAAACCATCTGTTGGTCTCTTTTTGGTCAATTTCAATAAAGAAAATTTTTATTTTTAAAACTAGTTTTGCAGGGGCTGGGATTGTGGCTCAGTGGTAGAGTGCTTGTCTAGCACGTGCGAGGCCCTGGGTTCTATCCTCAGCACCTCATAAAAATAAACAAAATAAAGGTATTGTGTACAACTAAAAAATAAATATTTTTAAAAAATGGCTTTTGCCAAACTGACATCCAGAAAAGTATTAATATACCCTTCAAAAAAATTAATGTCTATTTCTCGATGCCTTCTGGTTATATAATTCTTAGGATTCTATATGGTTATTAAAAATTCAAATATTTTTATAGTATTAGCTGTAGATGGACTCAATACCTTTATTTATATTTATGTGGTGCTGAGGATCAAACCTAGTGCCTCACACATGGTAGGCGAGTGTTCTACCACTGAGCCATAACCCCAGCCACCAAAATGTTAATTCTTAAAAGATAGTTGGGCACAAAAATATTTTCTCTAATCAAGAAGCTAAATATAGAGGCTGGGGTTGTGGCTCAGTGGCAGAGTGCTTGCCTTACATGTGTGAGGCATTGGGT